CTACTGCTCCAGCACTCTCTGCTTCTAGGCATGAAGACCCTCAGGGAAGGCTGGTGGTGTTCTTAGTACCCCTGGCTGAGGCAGCCCTTTGTAAACGCTTGTGTTCCGTGTCCTGGGAGACGAGATGGGTGTTACGATGAGGGGCTCCATTTCTCCTGCAGTTCTGTCCCAAGATGGGGCCTCCTAACCAATACACCTGGTTTACGAGTCACTGTTTTAGCTTAAGCAGACATGACAGTGCTTCCAAAGCTTTTACGGAAGGACCACTTCTTTGAAAAGGCGTTTCCTTTATTTTAAAACAAACAAACAAACAAAATCTCTCCAATAGCTCCCATTTCCTTTATTTGCTTTTAACTTTCTATGAAGACTTAGCAAATAAAGCAGATAACATTAGAAATGGGGTTAGGGTTAACAGTGATGACCCTTGCCCTCCTACCAGGCGATCTCCGCCAGGTAAAGGCCAAAGCCCGCTGGCTTGAGAAAACACACTCGAGCAAGGCTCTCAAATGGAGAGAGAAACCAGAGGTTGCGTAGCATGCTCGATGCTTCCTGCAGAGACTGTAACATATAAATGCTCACGTACCAGGAGGACGTGACCACTAAAATAGGGCAGCAATTATGTCCTTCACTCTAGGCAGTGGGTGTGCCCCAAAGCCAGTGTGAGAGCCCAGGAGACAGGGATCCCTTTATCTTTTCTCTTTCTGCCTCTCAGGATGTGAGCACCTTGCTGTGCTGAGTGTCTGCTAAAGACAGAGCCATTTCTCCCAAAGCCAGAAGAAAGTGAGGCTCTGTGGGTCTTACTGTAATCAAATATGTTGGAGTCACCGTGGTATGTCTTTCTGAGGAATTTTCTAGGAAATTTTACATTTTGACTATACTTAGTTTATATACACACATACCCGTCCCCTGTTCCCCCCGAGAATACGTGCCTGCTCTGTTTAATAACTTGCACATTGAATCAGAAGCCAGGGATCTGGGGACCAGGGACCAGTGAGCAGTGGCAGTGGCTGCTCATTGTAATATCTTTTTTGCACTCTCCCAGCCTCCTGGCCGTAGTTGAAGCATGGCTAGGAGCTCCCCTCCCTGAGACCAGTCTGGCCATTATCACTTTAGTGAGCCCCGGAGGTCCAGTCAGTCGTGGCAATCGCTCCCTAGGTCGGGACAGTGAGGATGCTCTTTCTGATACATTTTACAACAGTCCTGTCCATCCATGCGGGGTCCTCTGTAGAGAATAACCCGTGTAGCCCACTGTGTCAGCTATTGTGGCTGCAGTGAGATCATCCCAAACTTAGTGATGTAAAATAACCGTTTATGATATTCTTGGATGTGTAGGATGGGCATTGGGAGGGGCGCAGTGGGGAGAATGTCTCTGCTCTGAAATGTCCAGCTGAGTGACTCAAAGATGGCAGCAGGGATCCCCTAAGGCTGTTGACCTGGGCCTGAGCTGGGGCTCTCAGCCAGACACCTCACACAGCCTGTCCATGTGGCTTGGGCTGCTCACAGCATGCAGGCCGGGTTCCAGGGTGAGTGATTGGAGAAGACATGTCACTTTGTATGACCTGGCTCTGCAAGTCAGGCAGTGTCACCTGTGCTATATTCTGTTCATTGAAGAAGCCTCAAGGGCCATCCAGGTTCAAGGGGAGAAGTGATCAACTCTGTCTCTGGACGGTGGAGAGGCAATGCTATGGGAGTGCGTGTTGCTGAAGCCACACAAACACTCTGCCATCATTGGGCACAGCGTAGAAATGGACGAGAACGTTCTGCCTGGCCCCTGATTTAAGGGATAACAGGCAGGACCTCAGAAACTTTGTACAGCTGATACCCCTGGCTCTGCTCCCACCCTGCCCTCTGTGGACAGATAG